CGACGGCGGCGGCGGCGGCGGCGGCGACGGCGGTGGTGGTGGCGGCAGCGGCGACGGCGGTGGTGGTGGTGGCGGCGGCCTCACTCGACCGATGACGTCATTGGCGCCTAAACACGTCGTGCGTCGCGAGTGGGCATCCGCACACCTCGCAGCTCTTGGAGCTTCACGAGATTGGTGCTGTAGCGTCGCGGCTTTTCTCTGCGCTTGAGATTTATCGCTAGCTCGATTTGCGACAATCTCCTTACGGATCGTACACGAGTTTGCGCGTGCTCTATGATGAGCAACACCTGATCGAGCTCTGCATTTGCTGACAACAATTGCTCCTGACGCGATCGTTCGTCTTCTCTCTCGTCTTTCCTCGATCAATCACCTCGTCGTACTTTACAGAGCGCTATGTTGCCGGCGTGACGATTCTCCCGAGCATTTTGACCCGAGCCGACTCGCACTTCACGACGATCCGCGATCGATCGGCATTCCTTTTGCGCTGGACCTCGTGGTCACAGGCGTGCTACCTGCCGCATGGTAACTCTCAAAGCTACTACTCCATTCATTGATCGAGACGATGAGAGGAGGAGGCGAGTGTCGACTCAATCCCGCTGCCAAGCTCCTCGATTCTCCTCATCGATCTTGCGACTGGTCGATCATTTTGCGGTCCCCGACCATATTGCACATCGAAAGTTGCCCTTGTTGCTTCGAGTTTTTTCTTTTTTCAATCGCACATAACATATGTACACACACACATACACACAGGCGCACACGAGGCTATTAATTTCACGTGGAATGATAAACGGCCAAGTCACGCTCTCCCGCGCGCAATACCGATCGATCGAAATCGCATTGGGTTCTTTCCTCCTCTAAGCTCACGCGCGACTTTCTGTTCACACAACCGCGTGTCTATACTCTTTTCGCAGTCATGCACTTTCACGCTCTGTTCACCCGCTCTGTTCTTTGTACGGCGACTCTCTCTCTCTCTCTCTCTCTCTCTCTCTCTCTCTCTCTCTCTCTCTCTCTCTCTCTCTCTCTCTCTCTCTCTCTCTCGCAAGAGTTGGAATTTCGCGCGCGGGAACGATGACGACGCTACTACTTCCTCTCTTGTTCCCTCTTCGAGGTTTTTCCTACGACATTCGTGCACAGGTTTACCCGGTAGGCATTGTCAACAAGTAATTCCTCGCTACACGAACGCTCGGCACACAACTGCGATCCACGGTGCAGTCGCGTTGCGGTGCACGCGCACGCTACACACGCTCCTCACGGCGTTGTTATTGTTGCGTAACTGGCAAGTTCGTGTATCTGGCTCCGCAGCCGCGCCGTGAGACAGAGCGTATGGAGTGGCGCGAAGAGACACGGCGAGAGGACGAGTGAGGCGAGGAGGACGAAGGATCGGAGGGAAGAGAGGACGGACGCGGCGAGTGAGTGAGATAGAGAAAGAGAGGGGTCGACTGAGGAGGTAGCAATGGGTGAGCCAGTGAGCGCGAGTGTACGCAGCGAGAGAGAGAGAGAGAGAGAGAGAGAGAGAGAGAGAGAGAGAGAGAGAGAGAGAGAGAGAGAGAGAGAGAGAGAGAGAGAGAGAGAGAGAGAACGTGCGAACGGTGCGCCGTCTGGCGTAGCTGACGATAGTCTGCCTTCCGAGAAGTACGAGGCAATTCCGTGTATCGAACGCGTACCGTGGGACGTCCGCGCTCGTAGTGGGGGGATTGGTGTGCGGATCTGGATGTGTGTGGGACAGGCAGCAACGGATGAAGGGACGTCGGTGGCGGGGTGAGCAAATACGAGAGACAGACAGAGAGAGAGAGAGAGAGTGAGAGAGAGGAAGGAGGGAGGGAGGGGGGGAGAGAGAGAGAGAGAGAGAGAGCCCGGGACGACCGCTAGAGCGAGAGCGAGAACGAGACCGACATGGCGAGGAGAGTCCAGGCTTTCCTCAGGGACGTAGATATGCCCTGCGCGCTCTCCTGCGTGTATGTGCAACGCAAGGAAGAGAGAATCGGCATGCACACTTCATATTGGATGACGATAATGAGGGTTTTTTTAACCATGGCCTTGTCGTCTGCGCGACACCGCGTGTGAAATGGAAAATCTACTGCGAAACCGCGGAACGACGAACGACGGCCTCTCGACGCGGGAACGCCGAGATTCCCGTTCACGTCAGGTATCTTCCTCTTTCCTTTCTTTTTTTTCTCGCAGCTCATTGGCTGCGAGTTTGTGCGAACCCAAGCGCAAATCGCTGAATCGGCCGGCCAAGAACCTTGTTCAAATTGGCGCGTTTCACGCTTTTCCACGTGAAATGGAAATAAACCACGTTTGCACGTAATAAACTCGTTAGAGAATTCCTCGAGCCGAGCTCTCAGGCGCTCTCCTTGCGCTTTCTGATTAATTCACAATTCTCGATTCGTTCACATTTACAGCCATTCACATTTATAACTAACCTAACTTAACCCGTTCTCAGGGCGCGTTGCACCGCATCGTTGCCTACCGCGCTTGTAAAACGTTCGTTCCGTTCTCTCTCCGCCTCTTCGCGAAACCCCCCATTCAAACGGAGCGAGATCAGCGACTGCGGTCGACTTCCAATTTTAATCATCGTTGTATCCTATTCCCCACGATCGGTAGATCCCAACACGCCGACGGATCGGAGGCAGAGCTTTTTGAGACGTTCGTGGTCTCTGGCGACGAACCCAAACAAAACGCTATAAATAAAATCGTGAAAATAGAAGAACGAAAAGCGGGGATTCTCGCTGATCCTCTTTATCTAATCCGAATCGCCAACCGAAAAGCCAAGGGCAGACGATCTTCTCTCTTGTCCGTGTCGTCTCGGTTACGTTTCAATCGCTCTCGCGATTTGGACTTCTTCCATCGAGAATGTGATTTCGCTGTTATCTGTCATATATATGCAACCTTGTTCTCTCACGCGAGTCTGCCGGTCCTGGAAGGACGGCCTTCGGGGGAATTGACCTCAGAGAGAAGAACAGGCGAAGAAGGGACTCTAGGTGAAAACCTAACCGATCGAGGGACGTCAATGTACATCTTTGCGATTTAGGGAACCGAAGCTTCCTAGAAGCTTCCGGATTATTCGTCATGAAATTTTGTTCCAAATTTTCGCTGGCTTTTTCGCTGCCTCCATTGCCGTTCGCGCATCGCTGTAGCATTTGCAATTTTGCCATCTAAATTGCTCTCTAAAGGTATTTCTTCGCTTTCGTTTAATCTCGATATATTTTTAATGAAAACAATTTCAAATACACACACAAATCACGCGCAACGAAATAATGTTGTGCAACGTTGTTCGGCAAATTCTGGTCTGACCTCCGTTGCAACAATTAGCGACTACTAATACGGTGTGTCGGTATGGACGAGTCGTCGTCATTCAAGGACAATCGGGCGGAGGTATATAATTAACGATTCCGTCAATCGTGCGTGAATGAACATGAAAGAGTGAGAGATGCGCGAGCGTTCATCGATCGTATCTGAAACGCAACACCGTCCACGCGTACACGACTCTACGATCGGCTGCGCGCGCGATATCGCGTGTGCAACAAGTTACTTTCGTTAATTGAGGAGAGAGAGAGAGACGGAGCTATACCAGAAGCATCAAGCATCCAGAGAAGAGTATATATAAAATTGGATCGTGTCCAGTTTCTCGCGCTCGTATCATCCTCGTCCGGAGGTGATGCGATCGATATTCCACGACGAATCACGATCCAGCTGTGTGTTTGTTGTGTGGAGAAATAGCGCGTCGATCCTTTTTCCAATTATACACTTATCATCGGAACGGCAAATTTCAGCATATTTTCTATAGGCAACGTAAAAGGGATGAACGAGTCGCGAATTTGGTCAAAAGTGGACCTGACCCGATTGTATGTACTTCCAACCCGCTTCGACAATCGATCCTGCAGCGTCTCGCTGTGGAATCGATTGGAATGGGCGTGACGGAATAACGAGAAACGCGCGCGCGGAGATACGGAGATACAAATGCAACGTCTATAAATCGATAGAGTTATATTATGAACCTCGTTGATTGGCTGGCGTGGTCTTTGGAACTTTAGTGGGCCGAGAGTTTCAAGAGCGCGCGCGAGGGTCTTTTCGAGCGACAACAAAAGCGGCTTTGATTGACGCGAAGAGCGCGCAACCTGCGTCTGACAGGACGCTCATTAATCGCGCACCCCGCTAATCAAGGCGCGAAAGAATAAAGATTTCGGCGGAGAACGCAGAGACGTTGTACGTGTACCCAGACTGCTGACTGTAGGACTCGTTGGACGTGTGCATGATGATGATGTGGTAGTAGGTAGTATATAGACGCCACACATAATTTTGAGCGTGCGTTAGCGGGTGTAGTGCTGCTATCCGTGTGTACATCACGTGATTGATTGGCGACTGCTCTAATCAAGCAAATGGTGGTGTATCGTGTACCCTTTTCCCTTTTTTTACTGGAATTTGGAAAATATTTGTCTTTCGTACTCTTTCTCTTTCGTATACTTTGTCTTCTTCCTCGGGGTGTGTACCTTGGATATTTATTGTCTATGTCTACGTGTCGACGTGTGTCGACAGTCTGTAATTAATAACGGTACTATCCCATTTCTCATCAAGCAATTGCAAACTGCAGATTTTAATATTGGCATGTAAACAAAATATATATATATATATATACGTACATCGGATTGGTTTGATGTAATTTATGATGTGTATGAGTAAAATTCAAAATGACGCGACGTCCGCAGTATGGACTGCGAGTCACTTTGGGGAAACGCTGTATTTGTATAGTGTACCGCGCGCGCCTTTCGTGTTTCGCGCTGCGCTGCGCTGCGCGCGGTGTAGAGCGGGAGCCGCACCACACAGCGGTGGGTAGGAAGGAGAGAGAGAGAGAGAGAGAGAGAGAGAGAGAGAGAGAGAGAGAGAAAAAGAGAGAAGGCCTCGACCGTTGATTGTCGAACCGCGCGCGGTTCGGGGCAACACGCGCGCAAGTCGGGCAGTGCGGGCAGCGGGCGAGCAACAACCAGTCGTGCCGCAAGAAC